AGAATGATATTACTTCAAAGCCTTCAGTGATAAGTGATACTACAAACATGAAATGCTGTAAGGATATAATTTATTTTTTGCACATATACAGTCATTACAGTTGCACCCATTAATGCCATTACAGTTGAGTGTCTGTCAGCTTTTCATTTATAAAACACAATTTTCAGGGGCTTATGACTTTGCTATAAAAATTCACACTGTGCTGAAATTTGGCAGCCTAATAGCACTTTCTGTGAAGACCTTTTGGTGTATGCTGTGAATGTTCATTAACAATAATATGGAAAACCTGGCAGAAACTTTACAGTCCCACAAAATATGCTGTTGAATCCAGAAAAGTCTGATGCTTAAGTGGATGTCAGTAGCATGTTTTTGTTCCTTTCCTTCCTTTTCCAATACCGGTATGAACATTAAAAACTAAAGGAACAAAGTTTAAAAAGGAACAAGGACACATCAACCCAGAAAAGGAAAAAAAATTAATATATGAATGATATATTTTACACATTGCCCTGCATCAGGAGGAAACTAGTGTCAAGGCACAACTGAGAGAGAAGTCCTGAGAGCAAAGTCTATAATTCCATACTGTGGACTATAATTCCACTCCAGTGGTTTCCAACCAATAAATGCAAATTTCTACCACAATCCCTGGATAAAATTTACAAAGTCTTTACTCAAAATCAGTTAAAACCAAAACTGTTCCAATTCAGTGCTGTCCAGAGCACTTCTTCCTTTTAGCTGACAACATATTTCCTTGCAGGCCCAGCAGAAAAAATCTCTCTTGCTTCCCAAGCAGGGAAATTACCCTGCTCTTCCTTTAGACTCTGCCTTACAATGAGGAAACCTTTTCTAGCTTCATGACTTGTGGGGCTGTTGGACTCTTTCATCTGTATTGTATTTCTTTTCAGAGGTTCCCTAAATCTTGGAAGGTATCCTTCATTTCTTTCTCAATTATGTTGGTACTCTGTCTCTCAAATGAGGAAACCACAGGCTTGATGTGGCTTTAATCTGGTAAAAGATACTTCCCCCCCTGGAATTCTTACAAGTGATAGCTTTTCAATTTGTTGTTTACTCATACATTTAATTCACATCCTCTTTTAGTGGGAATAAGATTACCACTGCAAGTCCTAATTTTCACCAATTTAATTTTGACTGACTGGCTTTTCTTTCTGTGCAATGTCAAAGTTTCTGGAACATTTAAGTGAGACACATTAGCTTTCAGGCTGCTGGCCAGTCACCACCTACTGCAACATTGTCCATTGCTACCCTAAATTCCACTGAGCTGCTGGTGCTTTGTCGTGCCTAACTTTGCCCAAGATGTGCACATTCCTTAATATGTGACTGTAGAGCATCTAAAAATATAATTTGTCCTCATCAGTAGTAAAATGCTGATCTGTTAATATTTTTCATACCTGTGCATTAGGGGCATGCTGATTTGGGTTTACAGAATCTTACAAAATTATATAATGATGAAATACTCTCAGCTCTTTTTTCCAAAAGCCAGACACTGTCTTGGCACATATCGTTTGCCACATCATGCGTAGTTTGCTCTGGAAAGTGACCTTGCATGACTTTCTGCCTCAGTTTTATTTCCTGTAGTATTTTGAATTTTCCATCATATCCATGTCAGAATACTATCAAAACTCCATGAGTTTCATTCCAGATTGGGTAACATTTTTTTGTTCAGCAAATTCTAATTGCTTCCTCAAAGATTAATTCTGGATCTTTCAATAATCTCTCTATCTTTTGTCCCAGATGCCAGGTATAATCTGGTCTCTTATTAGGAACACTGTGGGCATGTCTACACGTAATGCTACAGTGTTGGTGGGCACAAACCATGATGCTGACATTATGTCACCGAGCGATGAGCTACCTTGCTATAGCACACCACTATGGTGACATAGCATCTAAAAACAACCATGCACCACTGGGCCAGTGCAGTAATGGCTGTTACTGCACCATCCTTTAGTACTTCCTAAAGTAAGTACTAAACAACAGCACTAACAACTGTGCCTTGAAGTGCATGTGTCGACGAGCCCAATTAAACCTCCAAAATGCAAGACTAACTCTTTCATTTTAGATCATTTATAATTTTTTTCTGTCTGGTCACCTTCTTTTTATAGCAGAGGTGTAACTAGGAATTTTGGCACTTGAGGTGAGAGGTGGCACTTGGCAGGTGGGAGATGAAGGAACTGCCCAGGGCCATGATTGCAATGGCATGGGTAGCTGCAGCAGCAGTGCAAGCTCTTCAGTAGATGTAATTCTGGCATCCCCTCTAAATTAGCACCTGCTTGCTTATCCCTAGTTATGCTACTGTTTTGTAGTCTGTGTTTTGTAGCTTCATTTTTACACAGAGTGCAGTACTCAGATTCCTGTATCATAGTTGGGCTCCTCCACCTAGGTTAACAGAATAGTATTAAAAACATCAAGGGCTTCAAAACTTGCTATTGTCGTAAATAAATCTGCCCTCCGATTGCTATCTTTTTGACTGGCACCCGTTGTTTGCAGATAGTGAAGCATTGTTCTCCAGATGACCTCCATATTTCTGAAGAGTTTCAACTATAGTGAGGTTTTTAACTGTTCTATTCTACTAGTCACATTATTTTCTTAGCTTATTTTATTTTGGGCACTGTGTGCTATTCAAAAATCCCTGAGAACCTGGGAGCCTGATACACATCTGCTTTGTTCAGTGTTTCATTTCCAACTGATAGGACTTCTTTAACATGAAAGTGTACAAAATGCAGCAACTGGATCCAACTGGTACTTGTAAAAGCCTAGTAAATGCACATTTCCCCTCAATCCCCCAGTGCAGTCTGTGACCATTGGTATAGGGCCAAACATCCTCCTTTGACTTCAATAATTAGATTCTATATATGGAAAATGGATAGATTTGTTATCGTTTTCCAGATATAGAACCAAATCATTGGGGTATACCTTGAATTTGTCCCCCTCCTACTGCTATAGCAGGGAAAGTAAATCTGGAGTCAAGTAGTCCCTATGCCCTCTACCTGCCAACTTCTTCCCCATGTAGGCCCTCACCATTGTCAGACACTGCTCTCCCTGAACACACAAAAATGAGAAGCAAATTTGAAAACACTAACCTTGAAACAAACATACCTGAAGTTATGTGCATATAGTATCCATAGATTTAGTTCAACTAGGACTGATACATTTTACTTATTTTACTGCAAGTTTTAGCACTCCAGAAACACACTTATAAAAACATGTACTTATAGATAGTACAAATTATGCATGATATTAGTCCAAAACCAAGAGGCTCAAGATTTACAAAATAGTTCATTGGGCTGGGCCCCAGCAGAGTCAATAGCATTTCAAGCCATGGTGACCGCACAGCTCAGCACTGCTTAGTGGGCATGTCTACACAAAATGTTTACTGCACAGTTGACTAATTTGCTGTGCAGTAAATGTCTCAGTGTCTACACATGTGCCCCTAGGAGGCTGGAGTAAACTAATTTACTGTGCGTCAGAATAGGACAGCACTCAATGGGCACTCAATGAGCACAACAACTCAGACAGGGGAGGAGGTCAAGGGAATGAAAATTCCTGGGTGGAATGGGGAGGAGACCAAAAGTCCTCATGTACATGGATGATCTAAACATCATATGCAAGGACAAAAGGTCAGTGGAAAGAGCACTACAACACACCCAGGTACACAGAGCAGCAGAAGGGGTTAAGTTCAGGGGCCTATCACTCCTGGGGGTTTCTGTCTCCTAGGAAGGGTTAAGGATCCTTGGGGTGGAGTTTGACACAGAGCTGGTGGGGCAGAGGGAATGGGAAAAGGTGGAGGCCAAGACCAGACAGAGAGCAGGGCTATGACAATCACGCTGTCTGTCAATAGAGGGGCACGTGGCACTGATGAAGGTGGTGCTCCTGCTGATACTGCTACACACCACCCTAGTCTCCTCCCTACCCACCGAACAAGTTTTTTGCAGAATCCAGAGAGCCATCTGTGTTTTCTTTTGGAACTCCACATGGGAGAAAGTAGCGAAGACCAAGCTGTACAAAACTAAATACTCCAGAGGTGGAGGGATGCCAGATGTCTTTCTCTTTCTCTGGGCCAAATACACGAGCCAGGGTTGCAAACTGGAAACAGGGGTGGAATCTAAAACAGCCAGCTTCGTTAAGTATTTTGCAAGGCAGTTGCTCCGACAGTGGCAAGTGCACACAGTGACAAATGGGAGCCCGTGGCCATGGATTCTCCATGGTTTTATGAGATCCTGAAGTGCTTTTGAGAGAAATACAAGCTGCATGATTCAACCCTAGCGACCCTGGTAAACCACCACAAGATACGGGAGGTAATAAGGGCAGACACACCATATTGCCTGTAGGCTTACAACCTGGTGACAGCTGCCAGACCATGTGGGAGCAAAGCTTCCACAAGGACCTGCAGAAGAAGCACCGAGACCTGAACTGGCAGGCAGCACACCAGGCACGCCCCATGCGGGCTTCGAAAAACTGTGCAGGGTAGAGGGGTCCATCGAACTGCCCGAGACAGACCTGCTACTGGCAGCCAGAAACAATCGACCACCTCTTCTGGGACTGCCCATACGCCAGAAAGGTGTGGAAGAAAGTTGGTGAACCCTAAATCTAGATCATAGAAGAAGTGTAACAACAAATAGCTGATCATGGGATCAGCACCCAGTTTCACACCTCAGAATCAATCTCTGTAGTGAGCCAAGAAATAGATACCTCTACATTTGGGAAAGCTCTGAATGCAATATAGATTTCCAAGTTTACCCTTTTTTTCTGGATTCATGACTTTAGCTTACCCAGCTATAGAGGTAGGAGGTTCAAAACCAGATCCATAATTTTGCTTTACCCAGGAAGCTGCAATTTAACTGCTTAAGAATTATTCCCAGATGGAAGTGTAATTATAAAAATGATTTCACTTTCTTTTCTCAGGTGGGCCATAAAGCATGAAGGAACAACTAAACCTTGCCAATGGAAGCATTCCAAAGTGGAGAATCCCTTGTGGAACAAGATGACATACATGTGGCCTGTCCTTCCAAATGGAGAACTTAATGAGGTAATTTCAGTGGAAAAAAGAAATAACAGATTGAATAGTTTTTTTTCTCAAGTGAAGCAGAGAAGATGTAATGTACTATGCAAGTATGTCATTCAATTCTTGCAACTTGGAAAATCAGAAATGTAAATAGTGCTGGGAGTAGTGCAGAGGGTATCACTTGCTTTAATAAATTATTGCAAATTCACTGGAATTGTCAGATTTGCTCTACTAGTCTTTAGCTCTGAAACACCAATACCATATTTACCCAAATCCAGGACAATTCTGAATTTACGACAACCCTTCAATAATTAGATTCTATACCTGTAAAATGTATAAATTAGTTATAATTTTACAGGTATATAATCTAAATATTAGAGGGTTGAATTAAATTTGTCCCCTCCACTGCTGCAGTAGGGCAAACAGTGCCAGGGAGCAGGGGAAAGATGGTGGGGGCACAGGTGGTGGGCAAGACAGTAAGAGTAAAGGCAGTAAAGGTGTGAAGTGGCTTGACCCCTGCCCATTATATGCAAGGTTACCTGATGATCTGCAAGGTCCCATCCAGCCCCTAACAATCTATGAATCCCGCCGCAAACTTGCCCAATGCCACCTGTCTCCCCCAGCACTTGTCTGCCCTGCTGCCTCCCCCACTGTGCCTGTGTGCCCCAGGGCCTGCCTCCCCTGCCACTTGCTGTGCCCTGTTGTCCCTGCCCCCACACAATTCCTCCCCCCCTGCCACTCCCTGTTCCCTCCTATACTTTCCTCCTCTTCCCACTGTTCCTCTGATACCTGGCACCTGCTGCCAACCTCCCCACTGCCTCTGACCTGCCAGTTGCCCCCCAGCTGCCTCTCCCTGGCATTGCCTGCTCCCCAACCTCTCCCCTCCCTCTTCCCCTACTGCTTCTGTATCCCTACCACTGCTGCTTTGCCTGGTTGGGGCAACCATGCCCCAGGCTGGAGTGGAGGCTAGAAAGGGAGGGTAAGTGGCAGTCATGAAGGGGAGGGAGCCAGAGGTGGCAGGAAGACAAGTAGGGGTGAAGAGGAGGTGGGGGTGCAGGCATTCAGGGGGCCAGGCAGAGGGGATAGAGGCAGTGACAGAGAGGGAGGATGGGGTGACAAAGGCTGCAGAGGGCAGAAGCAGCAGGAGATGCTCAGCAGCTGCAGTTCCAACTCCAACCCCAAATCCAGGTCAGGCCTAGAGTCAGAGCCTTAGCAGCCATCTGTCTTCCCAGTTGTATGTGAAACCATGATGAGGTGCTTTCTCCCCATGTTAGATAAAGGAAAAGAGCTTTGTCTTGGATTCGAGTAACTCTCCAGAGCGATATGCCATTCAGTGTTTTACTTTTCATGTGCAGATAATTTACTATTTTCTTTTTTTGCCATTATATTGTTGTAACTTATTGCAACAATGCTTTCCTGTAAGGTTTTTGAACCCAAAAGCTTGCTTAATAACTATTTTCCAACCATTTGGGTTGGTCTAATAAAAGATATCAAATTCACCCAAGGAACCTTGTCTTCCTGTAACTCAGACATTAGTTAGCAATAAAAGGTATATTGTCTGCTTACATTTTCACCCACAGAGCATATTCCTTAGGTTACATTTCAAATTTGAAGTATATGCTTGTAATTTTTTTTCTAACTTTCTCTGGTTTTACACATGTTCAGTCAACCCAAATCATAGCAAAGCAGGTCTTTTCCTTGTTTTGATGAGTAAAGAAAGGTTTACTTTTAACCCCTGCAACATGTCTGTCAATGTTACTAATTAGAGTAGGCACAAATTCAAAGTAGGTTAGGTTTATAGAACTGTTTAATGATGAACCCATAGCAGAAACTAGACATAGTAGATTAGATTCGTTTTTATTAATAGAAATGAAACAGGAATTGAGTTGAAAGTTGACATTTGCTGTAAATCAGTGTTATTGATCAGGCTGCATAGGCCTGTTAGCTTCCAGTATATCTCATTAATTTGGTACCTTTGGACACCTGTACATGTGCTGGACACCCCCCCCACCACACACACTCACACACAACGAATGTTACAATTTACTATTTCAGTAGTACCTGATATTGGGCAAGTTGAGGGGAAGGAAGAGATTAATGTTTTCTTGAATTCAGAGGGACAAAATGGTTTGAATAAATGATGTTAATGTTAGCAGAGTTTTGGGGACACTAGTCAAAACAAGTGTACACTTAAACAGCTACACTGTGAAAATTAGTCAGTCCAACATTTTATGAGCTATTCTAATAAAGCCAGGGCAATTTGTAACCTGTACAAGCCAATTATATTCATATTTTTCTCTCTCTCATTTTTTTCTATTTAAAAAAGAAATTACATGGGAAATTAAATATCTGAAAATAGGTTATTCAACATTAACTTTGTGAGATCATTCACTAAAAACCATGACATTCTGGCAGTTAACTGATTAATTGTTCCAACATTAACTTGCCTACATTACATTTATGTTGCTTAAATCACCTAACTTCTTGCTTCTCCCTCATTGCTTTATATCCTTAATTCCTCATTTGCTAGCTATAATCTCAATTTAATCCATATAATCCTGTATTTTATCAACTCTTGATTGATCCATGATAACCTTCTTTACCTGGTATGATTCACTGCCATGATCTCAAATCTACGCTTTTACATAAGGAGGCTCAGATTTCAGTGAGGTTTAAGAAAATCCCATTCCTCTTTAATATTCATTCATTAACATGCTGTTTTCAAATTACAGTGCAGGGGCACTGGAGATCTGCAGACTCTAAGCAGGTCACATGGTATTGGCTCCTCTCCCTTTTGGTTCCATTTCAGCTTTTCTAGCTGTCTAGGCTCTTCCTCATTAGAAAACAGAACCTGGATACTCATAGAAATAATTGTAAACAAAGAAGTGTGACAAGCTAGCCCCTAATAGTGTGGCTGTCCCTTATGGCTAAGCACAGACAGCCAAAAACCCTGAGGCTGAATTGATTCAACCTTTTTCAGGTTAGTCTAAGCTTCATAGATTGAACTGATAATCAAAAGTGATTCTGGAAATGCAGCCAGATGCCTGCAGTATCCCGAGCCGGAAGCCAGGAGGTGCTAGAGCATGCTTCCCTGCTTGGCTGGAGCAGACAACTTGGGCCAAGGCTAGCCCATCCACCCTGTGAGGAGGGGCTTATGTTACACAAATTTCCAATTGCTCAAATCATGAGCGAGACCTTATAAGGGGGGATAAGGCAAAGTGCCGCATTTATTAATTACATAAAACAAAAACATACAAAGACATACACTAAACACACCATACTCACAAACACACACATGCAGACAAACAGACACACACTCTATTTAGATGTTATAGTTACCAGCTTGCTTGCTCAATATTAGCACTGGGTAGCCAGCCCAGGCTCATTGAGGGTAATGGGAGTGGAGGTGAACAGACATGCCTGTGCTCCCTGATGTTGCAGAGTGTAAATTTCCTGCTCTGGCATTACTGCATCCCACTTTTATAGAGATTTCAAGTCTTTGTCTGAAGTTGAGGTACTTTTCTATCTGTATGTCTTCATCCAGATGTTGTTTCTTATCATTCTCTTCGTTATCTCAGCTCGGGGTCACTCCTGTCATAAAAGTCAGTCTTCCAGCCTTGAAAGTTGTTTAGGCTAAATTGCAAGACATGCAGAATTCATACTTTATCCTGTTGCTTAGCCTATCTCCTCTGCACCTGGTCACAGACTGGTTCTTCAGCCATCCATTAATCAGTTCATTGTCTGGTAACTTGCATATTCAGCTCCTTAGCAAACCTCCTCATGCTTACACAGGCACACTCTAAACTTTCCATACACTTTACAATCATTCAATCAATCACACTACTATCCTTATACATATTATATAAAAAGTTCATGCATGGCTTAATTACATATATAAATGATTACACATAATATATATATATATATATATTATATTATATCTCCACTAAACTTATTACTATCAATATAATACCCTTATTACTTAATCTAAACATAACCTATTCAAATGCCAAGCCGTTTAAGCTATCATGTTCTGGCCTTACATTACATCTTGCTAAAACTTCATTCAATCACACACTACACTTATGGGGTGGTGCAAACCATCTTGAGATGCTGGGGCTCTATGAATTAACTTGTGTGTGGAGGGGATCTGGGACAAAAGTTCAATAAACTGATTTACCCTAAATCAGTCTGATACTACATCCATCCAGGTTTATCTTAAACCTGTTTCAGCCACTTTGAAAGTGGTTTATGTGCATTGAACTTCTTTTGTGTTACAGAGTTGAACTGGTTTCTGATCACTTATACTAATTTATGTGTCATTTCTGTCCCTAGCCAATGAGAGGAACTAGGAGCATCTCTCAAGGGCCTCTGTTCTTGGTAGCAACAGTTAAAGCTGCCCATTAATGGGTAATCAGCTGTCAACAATACAAAATGAAAAGCATAAAAAGGACAGAAGAAATCGAGCAGCTGGGCAGTACACTTTGCAGAAGTAAAAGAGTAAACTGGATAGGAGGGGGAGACTTGAACAGTGAAAGCAGACAGTATGATGTGTACTTTTAATGAAAAAGGCAAAACACTTGTCACATTCAAGACAAAATATTTGGACACTTTCCCACTAATGCTTTCCTGCTTCCTTGATATTTGTTTGTTACAAAGATATCATTCAATAACAAATACTTTTGTGATTGTGAAATTAGAAGGGGAGGTTTTCTTTGACATAATATAAACCCCAACAGTGCTGGAACCAAATGGAACTATTTACAGTAATAAGGTAAAGCAAAGCACATTCATACATGTTTACAGATCAGGGACATGATTATTAAAATGTGGTACGTACTGTGGAAAAAGTATAAGAACCTACACTGTAACAGTATTGATCCTACCCACAATGTAGAGCAGGGGTAGGCAACCTTTTTTTGGCCGGAGCGCTGAAAAAAACAATGTCTACCTTGGAAAGTGCTGGAGTGCCAACATGTTGGAGCCCAGAGCAGCTGTTTGCAGCCTCCGGCCCGTAGCCAGCCCAAGGAGCCCAGTCTGCTTGCAGCAGGGCTTGCAGCCTCCCAGCTACCTGCTGGGAGCAGCCTGGGCTCCGTGGCTGGCAGCAGCTGCCTAGAGCCCGGCTTGGCAGTGGCGTGCTGAGCAAAATGGCCTTGAGTGCCATGCTTGGCACGTGTGCTGGGGGTTGCTGACTCCTGATGTAGAGAATCGTGATCTTTGTTCACTCATCTCTGAAGTTTATTATATAGTGCTGAAGGGTATCTATCTAAAAATATTGCCTGTTTCCTGCACTGTCCTTCCTTTTTTTCTTTCTACTGAAAACTGTATGGATTTTTGTCATGTTCTTTCCTGGGACAGCAGATCTACACAAAGGTTGGTGGTAATATTTCCTATTTTTCTGTTGATCTCTCTTCTATCTAGGTTCCTGTACCTCAACTATCACTGTGGTTTCCAAACACTTGCAACATACTTACTTGTATCATGGTTAACTATAAAAGCATTATAAAGGTTTATATAATGTGGTAGACTGCAATGATTATTGCACATATGATTATTCCCTGAACCATGTATATAAAATCCACTAACCATTTGCTTTTATATTAAAAGGCTTTTGATTGGCCAATTGAAGGGTTGCTGATTCCTAATAGTCCCTCACTAAAGAAACCAGCTGGTATGAAATCAGATTGGCTTATGCCTGTGAGACTACGGGTGTTACACAATGGAGACATGGACAAAAGCAGGGCTGTCACCATCGTTGTACCTGATCTTACAACTATACTGAGTAGACAGTAAGGAAACAGAAGTTAATTTTAATAATGTCATAAACTTAAAAATGTCTTAAGACTTATATTTTACTTGAGTATACCTTCAGTTAGCATATAGTGCATTGAATGTGTTACGAATAATTTAATCAGGATCCTACTCAAAAGCCACAGTAGTCTCCCAAAGCAACCACTTTTCTCATTCTCAAATAACACAGACAATTCACACTCTATTTATTAAGTAATTTACTCTAATTGCTTCTGGGAATTATTCTTTGGTCATTAATTTATGATGCATGAGCTTAAATTGTCAAAAGCTTACTTGCCTGTAGTCTGTTGCTGGCAGTACAATATGTTATTATGCAGAGGAACCCGATTCAGAGGCAGCTTCTTGACATCACTTCTTTCTTTTGAAGTTAGTGTACACCCTGAGCTGATATATTTCCTGATAAACAAGGTAAAAACCACACAAGGTGAAAACTAACATGCTGTTTTAGGTCTGTATTATGATGGACAGGGTGCATTGACACATGCATTTATTCCAGCCTATATTTACTGTGCCATCTTTAGGCTGCATGTGCTTCTCTGCAACAGCCTGGGGCTGGCTGGGACCTATCCCAGTCAAGGGCATCTCCCAGTCAGCTCCAGGCTGGGCAAGGAACTGTCCCCATGCAGGGAGCTCCCAGTCCCTGCTCTGCAATCGCAATTGCAATCATGGAGTGGGGGATGGGGAGCTTGTTCCACACCCAGCTCCCTAGCCCTTGCCAGCAGGGAGCTCCCAGCACTGGCTCCATGACTGAGGGGATGCCACTGGGAGATGCTTACCTTCCAGCCTGAGCTCTGCAGTCACAGGGCTTGGGCTGGGAGATAACCATCTCCCAGTGATGGTCCTATCCTCAGTGAGCTGCTGCTTGGAGATAAAGGTCTCCCAGCCCGAGCCCCATGACCCCAGAGCTCAGGCTGGGAGATAAGCATTATTTCACAGTAAACTGTGCTAATTTCCCATTAAGCGTCTCATATAGGCGCACCCATAGAGTAGCACTGATACAGACAGAGATTAAAATCCTGTTTGTCAAAGAGACAAGATAGAGTGGAAAGTGAAGGTTCTCCATCTCAGTCTGCCACAAGTCTGCTGAAACTGTCGTCCAAGAGACCCATTGTGAAAATGTCTTTAATTCACTGACATTGATCAGCTTGGAAATGGACTAAAACTTCTAATGAATTTTCAAAAGAATAGTCATTGAATGACAGAATTTGAACAACTTGCTTTAAAATAATGCCTGTTTCTTTCTACTGATACTGATACAGGGGTTGCTACCTTGCGGCACACATGCCAGAAATGGTAGGGGGGCAGCCTCTGGGTGTGGCATGTAGAGTACCAAGGAGGGGATAGGCAGCACAGTGGCAAATAGGGCAGGAAGTAGAAACAGAGCTGCACACTGAGCAGGAGGCACAGGGCAGGAAGCAGTAAGCAAAGCAGCAGATCAGGAAAGCAGGACAGGGCAGGGATTGGGTAGTGGAAGAGGAGTAGAGTGAAATTAGGGGAGGGTGTGGGGCTAATTTATGGCACACCTGCCAAAAAAATTGCCCCCTTCTATTCTGCTAAATCATTCTGTATGTTTTGGTATTTTAAAGACCACATGAAAATGACCCTATATTAGTAATAGTGAGAAAGTTTAAGGAGTTAACAGAGGTCTGTAATTAAGGGTTTTGTCATGATCATGTTTGAATTGAACTCAATGTGGAAAAGATTTGAATGCTTGTGAGTATTGATTACAATACAGGAAGTCCTCGGATTTACGACACAATTGGTTCCTGAAAACCACTCTTAAGTCAAAACATTGTAACTCAGAACCAATTTTCTCATAAGAAACAATATTATAAATGGGGGATTGGTTCCTGAACCAAGGCCCAGTACCCTATTTTCACCAAAAATAACCCAGAATTTTGTATTTGATCAATTATATAGATGAGTAATATAGCTACATTAATGTATTTATATTGTAATTAACAATCATATTGATTGGGAAGGACTTCTTTGAGGTGACTTTGCTGGACTTTTTGAAAGGCTCTTGGTTGGACTTTTTGAAGGGTTTGTGGCTGGGGTCTTCTCAGGAGTCTTGGCTGCAGGTTTTTCTGAAGTCTTGTCTGCTTTCTTAAAGAAAGTGTCCAAGGAAGTTTGGACAGATGTTTTCCAGGGAGATGAGCAATGCAACAAACTTGTTCACTGGTGTGGCGTCACATCAGATCAAGCACTGTAAAGTTTAAACTGACTTCTTCAGCCCCCTGCTTCTTCCCCTGCTTGTCTCCAGCCTCCGGAGAGCAGGGGAAAGAGCATGGGGCTGGAGACAGCAGGGGAATGTCTCCAGGGGCAGTCTCCAGCCTCCTGCTCCCTCCTGAGGCTGGAGGCAAGCAGGGGAAGGAGCAGGGGGCTAGAGACCAGCAGGAGACTGGAGACAAGCTCTTGGAGATAATCTGGAGACTTCCCCTGCTCTCTCCAGTCTCCTGCTCATTCTCTGCTACTGCCGGTGAGTGTGGGGGGCTGGGAGAGCAAGCAGGGAGCTGGGGGAATGAACAGAGGGTGGGGGGAATGAACCAGAGGGGGGAAATGAATAGGGGGAAGGGGGAATGAGTGGGGAGCAGGGGAATAAATGGGGAGCAGGGGGAATGAACAGGGGGCTGGGGGAATGAACCTGTATGTGGTTGCCACTTGCTGCCCCACCCCCACCCCGTGCCACCAGTGGTGTCTGTGGGCAGTCAGCTGTTGCAGTCAACTGCTGGCCACCGCTGTTGCTGCCAGTGGTGTCTGTGGGTGCTCGCTACTCACCACCCCTCCCCCCACTGCTGACAGTGCCAGCGGCATCTGCAGGAGCTCCCTGCTTACCACTACCACCATGCTCCCACTGCCACCAGTGCTGCTGTGCCCCACCAGCCACCGGGGGCATGCAGCATTCATGCAGGGGACCCACCCCTCCTAAACAGCCCCCACACCTACAGTCCCACCATACCTACCCACACAGTGACTCACATCCTCCCATATCCCTCCACACCCACCCAAATCCCCCCACCTCCCTTCCTACCCCCTCCTGCAAACCCCACATCCCCCCATCACACACCCACCATGTCATAAGGAAACCCAAAGCAAACATTAAAACATATAGATATTTAGGATTTATTTATTATGATACTAGAGACACTGATAGGCTTCCAAATTTCTTTAACATTGTAAATATAACAATAAAACATTGCCCATCTGATCAATCCCCCTTTCCCTCTCCCTTTTGTTCTAATTGTGGAAGAATGTGGATTTTGGGGTACTTTAAAAAGTGAATTTGGGATGCTGCTTCCGCAGTCTAGCTGACACAAGGGGTAGTGTCCCCAGATACCAATTGCCTGGGCTCCAGAAGCTCCTGAGGTCAAGTAAACCTGAGCTGCTGGCCAGGGCAGGTTTTTGTACTGCTGGGGCCAAGACAGAGCAGCTTTTTATCTTGCTGGGGACAGCACAGGTGCTGGCCCTGGGCTGTAGCTCCCCCTGGCTGCAGATCTGGGAGGAGCCAGGCAGTGTTATTTTGCCCCAAGTGGCACAATTTGCTCCACAACAAACTGCATGTCTGAACACATGTGCTGAGGCAAAAAGCCCCGGATCAAATTTGCACCACTTCTATTTGAGCTGCTGCAAGTGCACGTGCTTGCATGTGTGGATGCATCCAGAAAGTTGAAACAGGGTGTCAATTTATAAAGGTTGTAAGTGCAAAATGTTGTAACTTGAAACATTGTAAGTCGAGGATTGCCTGTACCTGACTTTAAAATATATAGCTATTTAATTGTGGGATAATTGCTCCTGTTGGCATTTACTACAGTTAGCTCTCTAACACAGTAAATGGTTGAATAATGATCATAGATCATATCAATGAAATCTGCAATTGGCTATTCAAAATATTGTTTACCACTGAAATGATTATTCAAAATACTCTCAAGCAAAATATTGAAAAAAATCTTGCTTATTTTTATGTACATGAATCATTTCTATTATTTAAAATATTCTGTATTTAAAACAAAGGGAACATTTGTCATTTCATGTGACAAAAAGATAGTAATTCATATATCATTGTAAAGTTTTGGTGTAAAGAATAAGTTAAATACATTATTTTTCATATTGTTAGCAGAGATGTTACCTTTTGACCTTTCTTTTGAGGTTTTTAGAACATTTGATGCTTCTGATAATAGTTTAATATTACTTTCTTCACATTGATTAAATACACTTCATACATCATTGAACAATGAGTAGCATTCAGATAGGCTGTCCACTGAGATGCCTGCAAAAATGATAAAGTAAAAAATTAATTTTCAAAGTAAAGTCAAGCCTGAAATTGAAATCTTTGATGCATACATTTCATAATTAGTTCATTCTGCTAGATCTAAAATGTGAGTATAGTGCTCTTAAAATAATTCAGATCTTTTTATATAGAGAGTTAATGACTAGTCCTAACTTTCCCACCTTTTTTATTTCTATCTGCTCTGAAATTATAGTGCTTACTTTTTTTAAACGTTAAATTTCCTTCTCAACAAGGTCATTTAGAATAGGAAGCCTTTTTTCTGTTTTCTGTTGCTCTCACAGTTATGTAAATCACTGAGATTATTCACAAATTCAGGATAAAGAATGCACAGAATTATTTGTAAGACTGGGGCCATACTTGTCATAATATATTACACCATTCTGAAACTTGGTGTATTGTCCCTCCCTCCCTGAGACAATTTTCATAGACATTTGGGCTGGAAGGGACCCCGGAGGATCATCGATATTAGATAACACCTCATAAATATTTTGAAAAGGCTTTCTCAAACATTTACATGTAATGCATATTTAAATAAAAACATTGTGAGTGACAAACTGAAGAAGGGTACGCTTTCCAGTGTGAGGAAACAAATCAGGATAAGCTCTTTCTGAGATTCTCCCCCTGCCTGCCAACAGCTAAAAACCATGTCTCTCCCTCCACATAGCTCTTTTCAACCAATTCACAAGCTGC